ATCTAGATCACATTTCCCTAGTTTGCTTATGAGAATATCATGTGTGACTGTATCAAAAGCCTTACTAAAATCAAGATAGATCTCATAAAGCTATGCAACAGTAATATAATTACACATAAGAAAAGCAACATACTGCCAAAATCATTAAGGACAACACTGTGCCTTTTAGGCACAGCCCTGCATTGGGGGTCAGTACAGAGCTGCACTGCCCCAGAGGGTAAATGGCAGGTTGAGGTGATTTGTCTGCCTCTGACGGACTCTCACCCACTCTGTGGATCCAGAAATGGCTTAGCCCTCAGGCTCATAAAATATTTCTGAAGAACAGATTTTTTGCTTTTGGAATGGACCAGGTTGTTGTACCAAGTGATAGATACTTAAATTAAAATCCAGGCAGTGGATGCTGCCAACCTTTTGACATGGGTATTCACCTTCTTCCTCCATCTCTGGGGATATGTGCACAGACAGATGTATAACACACGCAATTGTTGCACACTCTGCTGTATTATCACCGTAGTCAGCATTTTTTTCAGAAACAAAGTGTAAATCAGAGGTTCTCAAACTGGGGGCCGGGACCCCTCAGGAGGTTGCGAGGTTATTACATGGGGGTTCATGAGCTGTTTTTAATTTATAAGGAGGGTTGCACTCAGAGGCTTGCTATGTGAAAGGGATCACCAGTACAAAAGTTTGAGAACTACTGGTGTAAATGTTTCTAATGAAGTGCAGCTTAATATACTTTTTTGTCTCCTTTCTTTGGTATGGTTATAAAAAAGTATTTTTGTTTAAAGAGGAAAACAAATTAATAGATGCCCTTCACACTACTTCTGCAAATTTATGCACCCTGGATATGGAGTTCATGGCAGTCAAAGGAAGAATATGTGCATGAGTAATACATACTTAACACCAAGCCTACTTAAAAAATTGTAGCAAGAACATTTTTCTTGCTGCATTTAGCTAATTGATAGATGGACATTTTTTTAATTGTTGAAGTTAGCAGAACACTCTGTTAAAGTGGTATTCCTTCTGAGCAGGAAGCATATTTATTTACAGCTAACTGGCAGCAGGGCTGTCAGTTTTCATCAGCTACCTGGCAGAATTGTGTAATGAATGATGCTTTGTTTAATAATTGCATGGAAATTACTGTAAGCGGTATTGAATTGTGGATGTGGTTTGAAATGACAAATGATGTGTTTGTAGAAACTACTGACAGGCATGGGTAGCCATGACTTCAACTGTTGTGAGGTGAAATCTTCAAGGTGAAAATGACATGGTTTTGTGTTAGAGAATAATTAGGTGTACAGTATTACCAGTATCAAGTGTCAAAAAATCATGAGCTGGGCTTCAAAAAATCATGCAATTTATAAAATATTAAATTTGGGGTTCTTTTTATTTACTTTCTGGTTTCTGAGACTTTAGGATACACTGGAGTCATGTTTTCAAGCTTTTCTCCATTACCAAGAGGACAACAAACTTACTTAAAAAAAAGAAAAGAAAAAGAAAAGAAAACTGAGATATCCATGTAATCACATGAGTCCAGAAGCTGGAGCTTTAAGAAAACTATTGTGAGACTTGAGGTAAAATTGTGAGAACTGGCAACACTGCATGTATAGTATGTCATTCAGTGAAAATTATTTCAGAATTAAAATTAAACAGGGTTAAGCTCTCAAACATATAGTTATTGAAATTTACCTACTCAAGAAAACAAAAGTGATATTGAACCAAAGTATATATGGAAAAATCTGAAAATATTTTTTGGGAACTGAGTGACTTTTTACAAGGCCTCTAATGTTGCAAAAAGGTGATGTCAAATTGTAAGTTTTCCAGCATGCTAAAGTGTACTAATTCTCTGGGCCAAACCAAGAGGTCCTTTAATGCTGTGAAGCCTTTTATATTCCTCATCACAGGATGTGGATTAATAACAATGTTCAGCTCATGAATCCAAAAGAATTATTTTTGTTTTGACCACAAATGAAAAAGAAAAATAGAACCTGCTGGGCATGTATGGCAGGCTGTCAGCAGAGTTTTACAAAAGAGAAAAATGTTTTACTTTGGTGTTGAAATGTACTGTGAGAAAAGGTCACATTCTTCAAGAAGGTTTTACCTTGTAGGAGTAAACTTCAAAGAAAAAAGTGTCAGGAGACTGTCTTATTGGGCTCTAAAAAAAATATATATTGCTTGCTTCTAGATTCTAAGAAGACTAAGAAAGAATAGATGAATAGGAGTATTTAGGCATGCATGATTTAGTTCAATTAATGGTCTGTTGTACTCAGGGAAAGACTGGTGTTTCACTTGGCAACCATCTTAACATTCTATACAGGTTAAACCATAGTTTTCTGGATTTTTGTAGCAAGGACAAAATAGGAAAAAAGACCTGTTGTGTCTGGAGTTTGGTTTCCAATCCTAAAAGGAAAGTTGTGTGTATTATTCATGACCATTTTTAGAAAGTGTAGTTGAGTTTTTCTTCCTTACATAACAAAATAAGAACAGGACATACTGGGTCAGACCAATGGTCCATCTATCCTTTCTTCTGACAATGGTTAATTCTAGGTGCTTCAAAGGGAATGAACAGAACAGGGCAATTATCAAGTGATCCATCCCCTGTCGTTTAGTTTCAGCATCTGGCTGCCAGGGAAATGGGAAAAATATTCTTTAATATATTTTTGGAGGTTGTGTTTTTACCTTTTGATTTCATATCAAGAAGTACCAAATGTTAGAATATGTCATTGAGATATAATGTTACATAGGAATGATTTTAAAAAGCACAATATGTTCCTAACACAAAAGTGTAATTTATGTTTTCTTAACTTTCTCAATGCACAATTCAATTAAATTGTGTGAGGTGATTTATTGTTCTAGGCTAAAAAAAATGAAAAAAATGTAATCAAATGCCCAGATTATTGGATGAAATGCTATGCCTGGCACTAGTTCTCGTGTTACAAATGGGGACTACCACTTTTGATCAGAATGTGCAGAATTTCTTTGCATTTTTCTGACTTGGAGCAAAAGTGCTTTGTTTTTTTTTTTTTTAATCTCTTCCTTCACTTTGAAAGTAAGGCCCATGCTCTGCAGGAAATCAAGGACAGTGCCTGAATGACAACAAAAATGGTATAATGTTTATATTTAAGTTTCTGAGAAGCCAGACTGGGAAAAAGAAAATTACCCAAGGAGGGTAAGTTACATGCCAGGGGACTACTTGAGGACCTTTCATCAAAAGCAGCACTGTCTTAGATTGATTGTTTTGGAAAACCAAGAAAATTGGTTCTAGCCAAGCCAGGAATGGATTGTAAGCTATTTTCTTTCATTAGTATGTTATGGAGTTTCAGGCATCAGTACCAGACCAAAAAGAGAAATAAACATTCAACTTTTTGAAATTAGTCACAGTTCTCAAAATACTACTTTCTCTATTTCAGTAAGTAATTTTGAACTCTTACTTTCCTTTCTGGGCAGCTTAAAGTTATTTATAAACTCTGAAAGAATACTTTTAATGCAGAATATTTTTATTTAGCATAGATGAATACTGTACACATCTCAATATTATTGCTTACTGTACCATCTTCAACTTTTTTGTTTTCTTTGCATAGATGGCATAGAATGTGCTACTGTAAGAAGTTGATCTTTTATATTTTAGTTGAAAAATAAGAACTAGATTGTGATACTCTTTTACCACAAGTAGATCCATTGACTTTACTTACCATGAGCAAAGATATCACAATCTGCCCATAAAGTTGGATTATTTAATTAAAAAGACATTGCCCCAATTTGGTAGGGGAAAGAGGAGCTGCTCCTGCAGATGTGGTGATCAGGAAGCTTACATTTTCTTCTGAAACATGCTAGAAGTCATTATTTGGTACTTTGCTCTTGTAGTAAGTTATCCTTAAAACTCTATTCCCTTAATTCCGAGCAGAAGCTTATTTTTTGTAAACTAGACAAGCAAGGAATATTGCAGAAAAATAAAGAGACAGATCTGTTCAGTGGTTCAAGTCCAAACAAAGCCTGCAGTTCGTAAGCAATATCTAGCACACACAACCATAACGCAAAGCTCAAAGAAGACCCAGTATTTATATATCTGAGAATGTGGAACAAAGTAATCACACGTGATGTGCATGAAAATGTAATGAGAAGAAAAAAGAAGGAAAAGTTGTCAACATTTTCTTCTTACCTCAAAGATTAGCTTATGAATGGCATTTTGTAGAAATGTCTACAGCTCTGAATATTTTCTGAGCAAAGGGATGTTATGGACTTTTTCTTCACCTGAACAAATAACAAGGTCCCTCAACAGTTCATTAGTTTCACTGATACAAAGAGCATGTTTGGAATATATAAATGTTAGCCAAACAAATTAATTCCATCTCAAGAAGCTATTTCATGGCCTTTATCAAGTACTGTTGAGAGCAGCGAGGTTTTAGTTTTCTTTTGGATGGAGTTAGGACATTCCAGTTGTTCTACAGACAGCTACAAGTAACATCTTATTCTACAAATAGAGTCATTTAAATACATGGGGACTACTTGTAGTGTAAGGTGGTACTCAACATGATTGAGAGTATCACAATCTAAGACAAGGTGCTTAAAGACCACACGTGATTTTATCCTGTAAAATCTCTGATCTGAGTCAAAGCTCAGTTTCTGAGCCTGAGTCACTGGGTGAAAATACACTTTAAGGTAGAGTTGGAGGGTTTGATTACTATATAACAACAATTCACTCCAGTTTTTAATTGTTGGTGTGCAAAGCCATCTGGGTGCCTTAACGGGAACAACATGAATACATAGTTCCATAATGTGCTAAAGAAATATGTTGAACAATTTAAAAATATTTAGGCTGAGATTTTCAAATCTGCCAAATGTGATTTGTTGTCTAAATTGTCTAGACAGCTTGAAAATCTCATCCTTAATTGTTAGGATTTCCAGTACGGTTTTCTTATAACTATTTAGAAAGTTAGAAATATTGTGGAATAGTTATTAAAAATTAGTCAACATCAATTTATTTCCTTTGTTGTCATCCTCAGGAAAGATGTCCAGTGATCGTGCTCTGAGGAAACAGCAGCAATTGAATAATCTGGTGTCCATGGTGACAAAATTATCTAAACCCGGAGATGTGGTTGTGGATTTTTGCAGTGGAGGGGTAATATATGTTCTCTATATAAAATGCAACTTTATTGGTTTTTTTTTGTCTTTTACAATTCCAGTAGGACATGACTACAAATCAGAGTCTCATGGCGGATGGTCCTTTCAGGGGAGTCACGGACCAGCCTACCTGTGACAGGCTCCTGTAACGGAGAACAAGCCAGTTTAGACTCACCTGCAAATAATTAAATCGCTAGACAGCTGTCTGGCAGCTAATTAGTTAATGAGCCTGATAAAAAGTTACCGGGGCCCTGTTAAGGTGGATGCTAGAGGCTGGAAGCTCCTGAGGACAAGAGCTCACATGAGAGTTCAGTAGGCAAGTTCACCAGAGTAAGGAGCCTGGAAAGTGTGCTCCTAGAGAGAGGAGCCTGGCTGCTCAAATACCTGTAGAAAGCAGCTTCAGGTGAGTGCTGCAAGGAATAAAGGTAGAGACTGAACTGAACCCAGCCCCAGGAAGGAAGGCTGAGGTCTCTGACTTCAGGAGAGTGAAGACCTTTAAGTGACAGCCTGAGGCTGGAGCGGAGAGAAGGAAGAGACTTTATTTTGGGGGTATATTTAGAGTCAGTGTAGACCCCAGTGGGGACTTTGAACTGAGTTGAGTTATTTAAGAGTACAGAAGAAGGTTAACTGTTAACTGAGGAAGGGTGCCTGCATAGCCACCCTGAGAGCTTGAGGTGGTGGCTCTTGAGGCTGCCACATGACACAGGGCAAAGGTACAGACTTTGGAATCTGAACTGCTTTTACAAAGACACTGTCACTCTTGAAGGGGGTCATTGTGAAGGAGGTCAGCTGCATGGGGTTTGAAAAGTGACTCATGTTTTTTTGGTTTTCACAGGGCCATGTAGGAATTGTTCTTGCTCACATGTTGCCATCATGCCAGGTAAAGTCTCAATAAAAATATATGGACAATGCAATTTTCCAGACTTCGATAATTCACAACTTAAAAAAAAAAAGCCACTAGATGGAAACCACAAAGACTGCTTTAACAATGATGATTTAGAGACTTTATTTAGGTTTCAGAGTAGCAGCCGTGTTAGTCTGTATCAGCAAAAAGAACAGAAGTACTTTTGGCACCTTAGACTAACAGATTTATTTGAGCATAAGCTTTCATGGGCTACAGCCCACGTCATCGGATGCATAGAATGGACTTTATTTATACAATAATGTGAGGCTCTGAATTTGTGCATATATCAATATTTGTTGTACTACAGAATTGTGCGGTGTGTGTCACCCATGAAAAAGATAGTTTAGAAGAAGCAGCTTTCAAAAGATGCTAGTAACAGTGCCAAGTCCTCAGGGCCTGATCATCTCATTGGTGATTTAAGTACAAGCTTAACTTGTAGCAGCACATGGATAATTGTATCCCTGTACAGCAAAGTACTTACGTACATGTTTAAGTTCTCTGCTGAATTGAAGTGTTGAATTGAAGGCTCCCTGGAAGAGCCACTGCCCCATTTTTCTGACCCATCCTAGTCTGACTCCCCAACTTTCATACACTCATGACAGCAAAAAAAGGTAACTACTGCCTTCCCCTTTGAAGGCAGCTCTGTCCTAAGTCTTGAGAAGATGTTTCCTTCATTGTGCAGGAAGTGAACCCGAAAGGGTTGGTTCACTTCTAGCCACTTGAAGCGTGAATAGCAGGGTTCTGATAACAAATAACATTGGGAACTAAAACCTGTAACTGCTCACCAGCCCCATTTCCTCAAACTTGTGTGGAGATTAGATGCAGCCTATATTTAGGGTCCTTTGTTTTTGGTTTTTATTTTATTTAATTTTTCCCGGGAATTTATCTGTGTTTATTATTACAACAACAAAAACAGGTGAAAAGCAGTGTAAAAACTATTAATATTTTTTCTGGGCAAATAGGGTCTATTTTGGTGGATGGAAGGATGGGGGAAAGTATTGAATAGATTACGCTTTGAAGAACGGAATTCAATGTGATTTGCTGCAGAACTAAAACAGAATTCAAAACACAATGCCATCTGTGAGTTTAAGAAAACAATATATCTCTAATCCCCAAATAAAACTTTTCATTTGAATAAACAATTTACTGTTGTAGACTTAGAACTATTAGCCTATAAATATTTACACGTAATAAGTTGGCCATACCATTTGTAGCACATACACCCAACTTCATCCTTTTCTCCTGTTTTTGTTTTTTTAAAACTTTTGAATACTTCCTTGTGTTCTGAAACATATTCTGATACAGATCTTTGTTGTCTTCCTGTTTTAGTGTGTTAAATCTTTAAACAGTTATTGCTAAAAGCTTGAAAAGTGTACATGATGGGCGTGAGATTCGTCAGTACGTTCAGATGCGCACGCACTTCAGAGCTTGTGTGCGTGCCTGTTTGTTTATTGTGTGTATTCTCTAGACTAATACATATAGCCTTACTTCAACAGGCAGCTTTGAATTTGGGGGAGATCTCATCACCAGTCTCAAGAAATTAAGTAAAGATTTTACACCAGAATTTTGGGGTACTGCATAGCAAGTATCATTTTATTTTGATTTTAGAGCAATACTGCTGACTTATTTTCCTTTATGTGAAATCCAGGTGGTGCTGATAGAAAATAAGGAGTTGTCATTGATACGTGCTAAAGACAGAAGTGATGAATTAGGATTACAGAATATTTGGTTCGTTCAAGCAAACCTGGACTATTTTAAAGGAACTTTTAATATTGGGGTAAGTGATTGATTTTTCAACTTTAGAGTCTACTGATTATTAAGAAAAAATGTTTCCTTCTGTGGGTGATTAAGTATACTTACAAAAAGTCCTGTGGCACCTTAAAGACTAACAGATGTATTGGAGCATAAGCTTTGGTGGGTGAATACCCACTTCGTCAGACGCATTTGTTGCTTTTTACAGATCCAGACTAACACAGCTACCCTCTGATACTATACTTACAAACAATTCCAATACTTGGGAATATGAAGCCAGGCATTTCTGATTCTATACAAACTTTTGTTCTATCAGCAGGAAATCAGCTTTGAATGTATTACAGTTAGGAGATAAGGTAATATTATCCCCCTATTCTTAGTTGTTTGTTGAGTGATCACACTATTCTCTGCAATGTGCAAAACACAGATGGAGGAAGATATTCTTGTTCCAAAGGGTTTGGTGTCTCAGAAGATAACTAAAGTATATTAGCATTGTCTGATTATATGGTGGAGATGTATTGTGATGTATCAGGGTGAGTATTTTTGTTGTTTTTTAATTAATCATAGCACTTCAAGCTTAGAGTGATTCGTTAAAGAACAGTACTTTAAGGAAGGATTTGAAGATGGAAAAGCAATATTCACTGCACCAGGACTCAAGGTGGTGTGAAAGGTGCAGCATGGAAGATGGTGTAAAGAAGTCCATCTTTATATGTAGTGATGTGAACTTTAGAAATATTTTCAATAGAGAGAATTCAGAGACGGATACCAAGGGGTAGTCAAGTATAAGGTGTTTGCAGAGTAAAGTGGGAATAATAAGGCAAGATCAAAGTGGAGATATGAAAGGCCTCAAAGGTCAAGATCTTTAAAGAACTTAAATTTGATGCAAAGTTGAAAAGGAACAAGTGGATATGTATCAGAGTGAGTGAGAGGGGGAAAGGTTGCATGTAAAGACCCAGACTTTATACCCAGGCTGGAATACTCCTAGTTTTCAGTGTTCTGACTACCATACAAGTCACCCATCCTGCAGGCCTGTCCTGGCTGCAGCTTAGGCTGCTTACATAACTGCAGGTTTGTGGTTCATATGGCTCAGTGGTGCATCCCCCAGTGCTTTGCAGTGTGTTTTTGTTTTGTTTTTCTTTAATCTTGTAATTCAAGGAGCAAGTATGAAGGGTTGATTATTTAGGCCCATTCATTTCCAGCTATACAGCTGAACTATTTGTGCTATGGTATTTTTCCAAAAGCCAGAATCTTCTTTATAATTTACTTCTATCCAGAACTTGTACACAAAACACACACCTGTAGTTCATCCTTTAAATTAATCACTAGTTTTTGCATTCAATGTAATCTTTGTTCAGTTTTTCTGTTATTGAGATTGAGGCTAAATTAAATGTTCCTATGAGAGTTGTACTTTATAGGAGTATGTGTTATACTTCTGAGGTTTGTGGCTAGAGGAATTTTACAAGGTATGTCAGAAGATCTTCAGCTGAAAATTATTCAAGTCCTGATCTTTGTTCATGTTTCAGTGACTTGATTATGTAAGTTATTTACTAAGAAAACCTGGAGCATTGCTTTTTTATTGGGTCCAATGTCACTTTAGAAGTTTTAGCCTGGGCTCTAAGACTGCAGTATAAGATGATGTGCTACTCTTCGCTTCTCAGGATGAGGTCACTTCTCCTAGATAGTCTGGTTCACTTCAGACTCAAACTGGCTAATTTTGCCTTTGTGGAACAGAAGTGTAGTGCAAATATTTCACATTACGTACATTCGCACTCTTATTTCATAGGTAATAATCATGTTCCATTGACAAAATTGTTATAATTTGCAAATAACTATTAACATGACGTAACAGCCTAAGCTGTATCGTTACACAGAAATAAAACAATATAGAAATAATTGACAACTGATATTGTTCTTGAAAGAGTCTAGAAAGACTTTCTCAAATGTAATAATTCTATGTACCCTGAATCTGGTTGATTAGGAAGGAAGTATTTTAAGTTTCTCGTGGCATATTATTTGAATACTGTTTGTATAGTTCATAAAATGGCATAGCAGCAGCACAGACTACTTGACAGTGTTTGCATATAGAACATTTTAAACCAATCCACCCACACTCAAATGTTCTTTAAGCATTGTGTAACTTTGTTGTGCTCAATGAAATATTCCTGATTGAGACAGTCATTGGTCATGACTTTGAGGATAAACATGGAAGTAGGCAGTTCAGTTTGTTATTATGGACATCCAGATGAATATCAAAATAAAGATTGTTTTTGTTATCACTGCAGAAAATAACCTGTCATGGTTCATTTTGTTGCTGCATGTTATGTACTTGGAAAATAAGGAAGAGGCAAAAAATGACATTTTGTATAAACCTGACAAAGAAGTCTTGACCTGTCTGGATTTTTATTAGTAGGGAATATGCGTAACTGTTTTGAGCTACCTTCAGATAAAGTTGTGCTGTTCTATTTGGCTGCTAGCTTATTGTTAACTTCACATTTTCAAATGTGAAGTTAAGAAGAACTTGTCTGCCAAATAATTCCTCTTATTCATCAGATCAAATTGCAATATTTTAAATGCATGGAGTAATGAAAAACAGGGTTCCAAAACAGAGTATTCTAATATATGATCTAATTAACGCTACTAAGCAGAGCAAAGGTCTGGAGTCTGTAAGTAGGAATTGCTAAGCTGAATTGCTTGGAGTCCAAATTTAAATATCAATATTCAGAATACCCCTTAAGCTCTTAGCTATTTTTAATTATGTTTGTTATTTTATAGCACTGATACTGTCAGAGCTGACCTAAGCAAAACAATTGAAAAGTTTGGCTTGGTTTTTCTGGTGCATTAGATTCTCTTTTAATCTGGCAAAGATACAGAAAAGAATGAAAGATTAAAGAGAAATATGGTCTCCTGAAAAGTCCTCCTTTTCCTGCCACTTGTCTGCAGATGATAAACCATGCTGAGGTGTCCCGACATTCAGGACATGTAATGCACAGCAGTATTCTCACAGCATGTAGACATGCACTATCGCTACATCACTGTGTTGCTTCGGTGTTTGGGGAAGGGTCTCCATCATTATACTGTAATGTATACATTAAGGACTAAATGAATTAGTTGTCCAGATTAATGTGAAATCCAACAGAATAGGACATCATGACAAAACTCCATATTGGATGTTGTTAATGACAACCAGTTTTCAACTGTGTGGATTCTGCTGAGCTGAAAGGAGAAGTCAGTTGGCTTAAAGGTTATGCAGGATCAATAAAATAATTCTCTATAGATATTAGTTAGCAGCAATTAATTGTTTCTTTTATATGTATCAGATCTGTGTTTTAGCACTACACTGAAAGAAGAGCTCCTGCCCCGCACATGGGAACTGGGAGAGGACAGAAATTAGTCAGTGTTGAACCTGGTAGCTGTGATTTTTAAAAATCTTCTCTTGTTTTTAAATTATTGTTCAGCTACTTTGTTTTTATATACAATGATGAACGGTCTGTTTGATACAACCGTAACACCTTTTCCTACACTAACAAGCATATTTCTGATCCTTCTGTGTGCAGCTGTATTAACTACTACAGGTACTGATTGATTGCTTTGTTCACTGAGCTTACATAAAGCATTTTGCAGACAACAGCGCATTATCTGTTTTATTTTGTTTTTACACAAATTTGGGATTTAAGTTATTTTACCTTCTGATTTCTGTAGTCAAAAATCTTATTGTGAACCTTTAAATGTGAGTTTAAACCTTGTTTCAAAACTGCTATGCTAAAGACTAATTAAAACACATTTATATAAGCACACACAAATGCATATCTGTGTGCAGAATATTCAATTAAAGGGAGAACATGCTGTAATTTCTCCAGTGCTCAGAGACCATAGAGAAAATTATCAACCATTAAAATTGGCACCTATTGTGCTCAAGTATTTGAGCATATATGGTACTTTTCTCCTCTACATGTGAATGGCTTGTATCAGTTGATATCCCTAGCTGTAATGTTCTTTTGATGTAGTCGATTGTGGGTGGATATTTTTCCATAGTACCTAGGTTTACGTTTTATAGTGACGGGGAGGAGTATTATTCAATACCGGTCTTAGTAATACACTGACTGGAATCCTGTATAATTATTTCATTTAATCCCATAACAAGATCTACCATTTATGTGGATACTGTGTATGATTAACTTGCCTTTGTCAAAATGGTAAAGTCAATGTAATCAGTCAGTAGTAGCTACCTATGTCCCTGTAACATATTTGTTTAGGGCCAGATCGTTTCTGGCCCCTGTAGGGCTACATAATAGGGAATGGCACATGGGACTCTTCCCTGTACACAAACCAGGTGCTTCCTTCATAGGGGCCAACCCCAGTAGCAATCTCTGAGTTCCAATGAGTGAGGGAAATGCTCCCTGGTGCGCTATTCACTCCAAAGAGCATGGAGAGGATATAGGGTTATGACTGGTCATGGAGGGGATTGCACACTGGGGTGGTGCAGTGGGTGTGCGCCTCCTGAATTCTGGGAAGCTCCAGGACAACTAAGGCACTGTGGTTCCACGCTGCCTCAATGCCAAGTTGTGCATGAGTGGCACAATCTGGCCTTTAATTTTTAAAATTTAGTTTGGTAACACAAAGATTGTGACAGACTGGCAAATTTTATATGGATATGATTATTTGTAGTGAGAGAGTGCCCAGAGGCCCCAACCAAGATCAGAGCCCTTATTGTGACAAGCACTGTACAAACACATAGTGAGACACAATTCCTTCCCAAGGGCTCTTACAGTCTAAGTAGACAAGACAGACAAAGTAGGAAGGTTAGACACAAAGTGTTGAGCACCCAGCATTTGAAATCAAAATCAAACCTTGGTAAGGTTTCTCAAGTGGTACACCTGGGATCACTAGTCACCTTTGAAAATCTTGGCCATGACCTGTAACTTTTTTTCTCAGACCTCTGCAATACCAGGATGCAATATCAACATTAAACACTGTGTGATAATGAAAATTTGATTTCCTTACTTTCGTCATAGCTTTAGCTATCTTTTTATGGAGCCCTAACTAGGCATTTTAGTGCCTGGAGCAAGCAAGCAAGCATATTTGCGCCTCCCACCATTTTTTCCTTATTTTTCCACCCAGAGATGATGGGGTGGGGCCACCCAGGGTCACATGCCCCCACCCCCAGTTTTTTTGGTTGGACCCCCCCAACCCAGACAGGTTGGGTGGCCCACTGAGGTGAGTCAGGTGTTGGAGGTGGTGCTCCCTCCCTGAGCCCCGTTGCTGCAGGGTCGGCCCAAATCAAGCCCTGCCAGACCGGGGCTTTATGTGTCGCCTCTGTTTCTGCCCCATTTTTCCACCCTCAGCAGCTTTATGCGGCTGCCCCATTCATCCTGCCCTGGTTACGGCCCTGTCTTTTTGTATCCTTTTGTACGGTTTCCACTCTTGTTATTGTTTCCATGTATCTACAGATTTCAGTGCAATGAAGCAAATCACAGAGCCAAAGGTTTTTTTAGGGAGAATGGAAAAGAGTGAAGATTTCCTTTTCTCTACAGCAGCTGTGGCTAGATTTTGAGCACTGCTGAGAACCTATTAGTCATCTGGAACTCAAATCTCTCAAGATCAGGGCCATAAATTGTTCCTGAATTTCTGTGCATAAATCTAGTCTTCTTTACCAACTAATCTATCCATAGAATGTGTGTTCAGGTTTTTATAACATGCTCACGTAGTACAGAAAGTTTCGAAATATCACCGTGGTATGTCACCAGTCTCTCTCGTCAGTTTTAGATGGTTGAAATGTTTCATCTTGCATATTATAAGCAGTGTCCCTCAAGGAGGAATGGAATTTAATCCACTTGAGCCCAATATCCAAAAGGTCACATATTGGAAAACTGATCTAAGATCAAGGCTTCAGCACCTGAGAATCGAATTTAATTATTCACAGATCAATGTATGTCAAGAAATACTAACAAGTCAATACAGTCACAGAAAACATCTTAACTACTAATTATAAATCACAACCAAACCCTCAGCTCACCACTCAGACCGCATACTAGTTTTTACTATTTGTCTGTTAAAGATCTGCTGACCTCCTATGAAACACTTTATAGAAGCAGTTCTATCTTATTTCTTTTTTTGTTTTGTTTCGTCCCAGCACTTAAAGGAATTTTAACGAATGACTAAAAATGGTGGCTGATTAGCATTTTTTTCCATCACTAGGAGAATCTGAGAAATTTTTATGTTCTGGATTGTTTTGCTTTCTTTATTTTCTGTTAAGAAAATGTAAATGAGAACATGATCTTTGTGCCTTAAAGGTTCATTTGTTCGTGTTGCTTGTTCTCCAAATGAAATCACAGTTTGTGACGTAATTTCCATCTTAGCCAATCGTGTAGTCAAACAGAATTGTAATATTATGTTAGGAATAAGCAGGAGGAACAGATTAATATTTAAGGCAGAAAGCCTGTTTTTATGCACAAGTTCCTATAGAGAAAAATATATAAACAAAATGTTGATATAAGGACAATTTATTTCTGTAAACTCCCATTTTTTTAAAAGCTACGGTTTTGTCCCTTATGATTAAGGCTAAGTTTTTGTCATGGATATTTTTAGTAAAAGTCACAGACAGGTCACGGGCAATAATGAAAAATTCACGGAAGCCCGTGACCTGTCCTTGACTTTTACTAAAATACCCATGACAGCCTGTTCTTCCCGATGTGCCTAGCCCACTCTTTGGGCTTAGGGGTGGATAAATGACCCCACCTCCTCCTTCCCCTTTTGTGTCAAAGGAACTGACCTGCTTTCCACAGTGAGTGTAGTTATGACTAGCACTTGCAGAGATGTGAGGGGTGGATCCTCCTTGTGTATTTCACATGTGCACACACTCAGAATCTGGCCTGTCATGATTAAATGACATGCTAAATGTTTTTTCCTGGTGTACAAATGCATCTCGAAAGAAAGAAAATTACAATGGAATGACAAAATCTTTGCCTGCTTATAGTCTCTGACAAACAAATACCTGTTTACCAAATACCTCAGCTAAAAAGGTGCTGTCTCATAAACCTAAATTTGATTAAATATATTTTTCCTCTTTCTTGGCTTTACAGAAACCAAATAGTCGAAAGTGTGTTAAGATTTTCTTTCAATGAGAAATGATACATAATATGACCTATATGTGTGTTCCTGATTATTGTATTTCACACATTGTTTTTATTATAAAATCTAGCTTTAAAATATTTCTGTACATTTCTAAGGATTTCTTACTTGGACTGAAATTCTTCACTAACCAGAATGAGAGTTTGTTTTAAAATGTATTTTATGTGTATCTTCAGTTGAGTTGGTATGGTATGTACCTACTGTAAAATGTGATTGGCAAGTAACTTTAGTTCAGCATCTATAGCTTCTCCACCAACATGAATGGTTCATGAAGTTCCTTTGGCATTAAAATGAGCAAAAGAAATGTCTGAGAGAGCCATGAGGCACACAAGCTGAGTGGTTGGGAATAGGCTCTTGCCTCACCAGGTAGCTTGCACTGCAGTGCATGGGGAATTTTCTTGAGCTCTTTAGATGTTCAGGTAATTCAGTCAGCCAGAAAAGTGTTAAGAAATAGAGTTGTAAGTGAACAGAACAATGCTGTTAAGGTTTCCTTTTTTTATATATTTTAGGTGGCTCTGCATGCTTGTGGCGTGGCAACAGATATGGTGATTGAGCACTGCATCAAGGCTCATGCAGCCTTTGTCATCTGCCCTTGCTGTTATGGTTTCATTCAGAACACAGTGAAATTTACATTTCCACGAAGGTGAAGAATCTAGTTGTACAAGGGACTGGAAATGTAAAGTTAAATTTGCACTATAAAGAGGGGGGGAAATCAAAAGTATGTAAATGGACAATTAATGTCACCCAAAGAATCTTAACTCTGCCCCATAAAGTTGCTGTGTCAACACTGAAAAACTATATGTTGACTTTAACTATCCAGGAGAAACAGGTTCTCCTCATCAGTGACCACAAAAATACCTACAGCCTTCTTTCCAGAAATACGTACTCGACTGAGAAAGGGGATACTTACTAATTCCTGGATCAGTGTTAAAACAGCTATTCAACACAGTTCACAAAAATTTTATATGCCACCAATTATATATGTGTTGCTAGATACAGTGCTAGTGAATCAACATGTACTGTACTAACCTCCAAATCCAAAATAATGAATTTATGGAAATTTCATGAAAACAGTAATGGGTAATGAGATGTGTGTGTGGTAGGGGGGAGTATCACATTCAGTCCTAGACACATAATATGTATGCAGTCAGTTACAATGGGACTGATTGACAAATATGTTACTGCAGTTCACCACCAGTGAAACCCCATTGATTTTGGGGGATTTACACTGGCATAAAACTAAAGTAATAACTGGTCAATCAAGCCCTCTAATCTAAGGTTAATCTTTTGATATTTCTACCACAAACTGTACTTATTGTCTTCTCCAGATTTAAGATGTCCATGATCATAACCCTTAGGCTTTTGCCTTTTTAACGCCCTTGGTCCAAAAATAACACATCTTAGGAAGTAGGTATATGGGAATGAAGGCTAGAGTGTTTCAGGACAGAGTTAAGATTGAGTAGCTTTAATAGTGTATTTTCATACTTTCAGACTGGTTTATGGTTTTAAGTAGACTCTTACCTTTTGAATTTCCAAGGTTATAAAATTTGGGTTTTATTAGAAAATACACCTCTCTTTGGGTCTATATTGTCTGACATAAATAAATCTTTCTATCTTAAAAGGGATTCATCAACTTAAAAATAATATATTTTTGTTTGAAAATATTTTTCTTACTACTTTTACAAGAAACATCTAAGATTGTTGTAACTAAACGTGATTAAAGAATAACTATTTGTTTTTTCAGTTTGATTACTTTGTGCATTTGACAGCACTTTATGTTCCCCCAGTTTTGTTCTATATCCTGTATAGTATGTTTCCTCTTTTGTTTGTCTCCATCTTTCACATAGCAAGAAGGAAGAAAAAAATATTTAAAAAAAACAGGATAATACAACTGTAAAGTTGCAAAAATGGGCAGAGGGATTTAGGGGACAGATATAATATTAGAAACTACTTTCAACTTATTTTTTAAAGGTCGACTAGATGCTATCATTTAACTTCAAGTTAATTACAATTTTAGGCTGGAAATTAATTAAGGTTTGTGAAGATGTTTGAGAACTTTTGCTCCAAGGTGCTGTAGAAATGCAAAGTGTTATGTTTTTTATTAACATTTACAATTTTAAAGGCTCTAAAGCACATAAGAGACTATCTAGCTCTCAGTGCAGCAGTTCAGCCTTGGGACTACAATTTAATTTTCTTAAAGTTGGTAATATTAGAAAACATTCCACAATAACTGGGCATAAAGTATTTAATTCAATTCTAGTGACAAATAATGCAGTTTTATGGTATGGCAGACACAAAAGGCATGTGTGTTTATATACCGTAGGGCAGCGGTTCTCAAACTTCATTGCCCTGCAACCCACTTCTGACAACAAAAATTACTACATGACCCCAGGAGGGGGTACCAAAGCCTGAGCCCACCCAAGCAGAGGGGGGTCAAAGCCCGAGCCCCACCGTGGCGGGCTTCATCTTTGGCCCCAGGTGGTGAGGCTTGGGCTTTGGCTCCGGGCCCCAGCAAGTCTAACACCAGCCTTGGTGACCCCATTAAAATGGAGTCGTGCCCCACTTTGGAGTCCCGACCCACAGTTTGAGAACTGCTGCTGTAAGGGATATACGTGGCTATGATATAGAGTATTTATATAAAGTATGGACAAAGCCGGTTTCATAAAAATGTGTAGTATTTATAATGGTTAAAGAAAAAACTTCAATAAATAGTACAATAAAACATAAAATTACATATAATGTGCTTTTTCTACTCAAGTGAACTAAAGCTGTCATATTTTCTGCTTCTGAATACAGCTTCACAGCCTCCAGATAAAAATATTTTGTTTAAAATTCAATTCAAGTGTTTAAAAATTACTTCTGTTTTCAATCTTGGTTATTTCCAATGTTGATTTAATCAATCTCCTTTTCTGTTTCAGTCATCGGTTCAAGGAAGTTTTATCCTATAAGGTATGTAAAGGTATTTCTGTGGTTAGATTTTCTTTTTGTGCCCTTTTCTGCATTTCCCCTGTGGTTTGTAGTGGAATGAATTTATCTTTTAATTATGAGGATGAACACACAATGTAATAATGTTTAGTAATTCAGATCTACTCACATTCCTTCCACTTTTTAAAAAAGGATTATTTTCAGTAAAATAAAATCAGATGATTAACCATAAAAGAACTTTATCCCTTAGTAAAGATAAGTAAAACACCCCTTAAGATTCATGTTTTGACATGTTTCATTTAAAATTTTCTGGATACCACTCATTTTATAGACTTTGTGTAAGTATTGATTGTTCTTAGGTATATAGACCTAACTAAATGTATATTTATTTATTTATTTACTAAATGTATGTTTTGTATACTGCTTGCTTCTAGAGAACTCATTTTCCAATAGCTCTTATCTGAAAAATATTTAAAGAACTAGCTTTCTTTCTGTACAGCAACCTATTAAAGACAATACAATCTATTGTAAGCTTCAGATTTTTCTCTATTTAATGATAGTGTTTCTCCTTAATTTGCACCTTGAGCATTGGATAGGCACTTTTATAAATAGGAATAAATCATAAATACAATTCTTTACTAAGATTGTTTTAGCAATTATTTTAATTAAAATGGCTTTCTAAAGTACTTAATATACATTTAATATGTCATATTTGATTTAAGATGAGTTTAAAATGTCATCGATCAACAAACCTTTGAATAGTTGTATTACTCTCTTTTCTCTAATCATTCTTCTGTGTGTGACTGGGTGTAGTGTTAACTAAAAATGTTTATTTCAAAATAAGAGGACTTTTTGTTCAATAGTGAATTCTCATTCATGGACGAATGGATTTTACCATTTCTTTTGCCTAAATTTGCTTCATTATATGTAATTCTTGAGCCAGTTCTCACCTCTTCTGTAATCAGAGGTGATATGGGGGGTCACGCAGGGTAACATGCCCCCTCAGATTTCTGCCAGGGCTTATATGCCCTTCCCTGAATCCTGCTGCATACCACCAGAACCTATAAATTCTGCCCCCTCTTGCCTCCTCCCCCCGCACAATATAGAATCATAGAACATCAGGGTTGGAAGGGACCTCAGGTGTCATCTAGTCCAACCCCCTCCTCAAAGCAGGACCAATCTCTAGACAGATTTTTGCCCCAAAACCCTAATTGGCCCTCTCAAGGCTTGAACTCACAACCCTGGGTTTAGAAGGCCAATGCTCAAACCACTCGCCTCTGTCTGTAATGATCCTGTATTTGGAGGACCTACCTTGGAAATGCTCACCAGCATTTTTCCTTTGTCTTCTCAGATCTCCCTGTGGACATCTTAGGTTTCTTGATGTTACACAGTAACTTAACTGCAAAAAGTCCCTGAACCTTGAGAAACCTCCTTGAACTTGAACTTGAACAGTAGGAAGAAAAAATCACGTTCCTTTCAGTCCCTAGCAATAAATAAATAATTAATAAATAATCTTAATATCTGTGTCAATGTCACTTTTAAAGTACTTTTACGAACTCCTTGTCAATGTTGTAAAAGTTTTTTGGGACAGATTTACAAATAAGTTAAGTCTGAGGACTGTTAGGTTGTCACATGCATTGTAGTTGTAGCCGTGTCGTCCCCAGCATATTAGAAAGATGAAGTGGATGAGGTAATATCTGTTATTGGACCAACTTCTGTTGGTGTGAGAGGCAAGCTTTCGAGCCACACAGAGCTCTTCTTCAGGTCTGGGAAAGGTATTCCAAGTGTCACAGCTAAATGTTAACTACTTATGCTAAACAATCTGTTCAGATAGCTATAAGTATTTTTATATATCATATTAATATATTGGTTAAAATTATTGGCTAGTGACTAAAGTTCAAATGTGGTGGGCAGACATTGCCTGTGTCCTTTAGTTCCCATCTTAAATTCATTTTTCTTATCTTCCTTTGAGAGATCCAAGGAGACATCAAGAAGAATGACAATTCCCATATAATGATAAATCTGATTTTTTTTAAACCAATGTACTTTATTTGTACCTAACAAGACTTATAATAGACCAACAGGGATATAGCCTCTCTATGTCCATGGAATCCATTCACTGTTGGTCACCTTGGTCTATCTGCTATCATTTTACTTTTCTGATGGGAACATTTTGCCTTGATTCATTAGAGTTTAAAGTTGCAAAACTAGGACTATGATGGTTGTAGGCTTGCACCAAAAGACACTCAGAGGCCACATTTTTTCATCTTTCCCTGAGGGATGGTTGGAAAGTAGGAACCAAACTATTTCACATATTTAGCTTTGACAGTTTAGCAGAATTTGCTCTCTCCAGAGAGCAAGTTAACTACATGAAAAGCTGGATAGTTTTAATTATGATGTTCGTTGTCCTGATAATGACTGCACCATATCTACCATCAGAAAATGTGACAGGTTGCTATTTTTTGAAGGGGAAATTATATAGTCGTTACCTGGACGATAGTTAAACTTTCAGGTTGTCTTCACAGAAAAGGTGAGATGTTTGTGTATTCACAAGCCAGTCCTCATTTTTCAAGTTAGTTGAGTGATAATGCTTACCTCAGAGTTCAGATCTGGTTTGACAGGCTGCAGAACTGGCAGGGGCAGTGGGCTCTCTGGGTTGGGTGGGGTAACCAGATGAAGGCAGGGAGCTCTGTGTATGCTCATTCTTTATATGAGAAAACTGAGCTGAGCCTGTTTCTTTAGAGACTTTTAAGTTTGAGTGTGGCCCCATACCCTACCTAGGCTATGTTACAGCCTGAAATATAGTAGCTACCCTTTATTCATTCACTGAAATGACAACTGCTTAGCTTCCCGGCTCAGAGTTGTTTTTACTTGCTGCTGCTTTCTCTTTCTTGGAGCCTCCTCCAGTACCTCTCCCCTTAGCTCCGACTGCCCCTCCTATACCAAAGCCAGGTGCTTTTGGAAGCCTCTGCCTGGTGGCTTAATTTGGGGTTTTTCTCTTAGCAGCTCTTCCTGCCCTGACCAACTGCTCCAACTTCTTCAAGCTTCCCAAACAGCTGTTCCAGCAGCCCTAATAGCTGGTAAAATGTTAGAAGTCAGGCAGATACATCCGAGCTTGCAGTCCCTTCACCCAATGCAGGGACTGAGCCTTTAAAAATCATCTCTTTATATTAGGAGCAATGGTCTCAAGTTGCAGTGGGGGAGGTCTAGGTTGGCTATTAGGAAACACTATTTCACTAGGAGGGTGGTGAAGCACTGGAATGGGTTACCTAAGGAGGTGGTGGAATCTCCTTTCTTAGAGGTTTTTAGGGTCAGGCTTGACAAAGCACTGGCTGAGATGATTTAGTTGCAGATTGGTCCTGCTTTGAGCAGGGGGTTGGACTAGATGACCTCCTGAGGTTCCTTTCCAACCCTGATATTCTATGAATAACCAAGAATGGAAGGATAACCTAGTTTGATTTAAGAAAGTAGTGCTCATTTCAAGAGCTCTAACTTTGGTTCTCTGTTACATTCCATAGAAAAGTTTCTCATGTCCGTATTGCCATCTGACATTACAGAGGGCTCTATAAAGCTGGACAATTCTGAAATAGTTCTTGCCAGAGGTGGTGCTAGCCCTTTGGGGACCCTAAGCAGGAATATTTTGCCCCTCCCAACACATAATAAAAAGTGAATAGGGGGCTCCGTTTTGCTGCTTGGGGCCTTAAGCAGTTGCTTAGTCTGCTAATGACAAACACCTGCTCTGGTTGTCATTGCTAGGTCTTAGCCTTGAAATTTCAGCTGTCCCACTTAGTATAATTTTTAGGAGCATTCTTTTCAGTTGTCATTGCATCACAATCTTTCCCCCTCCCACTGCAAGAATGGTTAACTTATCTACCCCTGCTTCATTTGTCTTGCTAGCCAAAGGCTAAAAATGGAAGTCAGAGTCAGTTCTTGATATCTTATAAGGAGGTTTCTACTTTTGTTTAAATTTATTTTGTGCTATAGAGTTAAGAGAGTTTCCCCACGTCAAGGTGTGGAACACTGGACTCCAATTTCAAATTGACTCTATACTGATTTGGGTGGGATTTGAGTAATGGAACGTTGCCCTGTCCCCAACAAGGGTGATGGTGATTCTTTCCTGCTTCAGAATCATTACTGATAGGAGAGCAGGATGTTTGAGTGGCCCGCACTCCAGTTTGAATGCTACCCACAAATGGGGAGAGGAGGTCCAAGACTGACCCTGTGGCAGTAGGATGGCTTGGCTGCCGATTGGTGCATACTGGAAGGGTTTAAGTAGCCTGAAGTATGCCACCCAAGAACACTGCCCTGTTGTAGGGGCTGTGTCCAATTCCCCTGCTGAATGGAAATAGAGAAGTCTGATCCAGAGACAAACTCACTGCCCCAAAAATGTAGGGAAGTAGAAGTATGGGTGTGGTTATCCCAATTTAATTGGTACACACTTTCAAAGCCTGAAGTGGAGCTGAAATGAGTACAAGTATAAATTAATTTTCATAGAAAAATATTCTATACACGTAGTTTTCTGGTACCTTTGAATGTTTAAATAGGATTTTTATGTTGAAATTAAATAACTGTTTTAAGGAGTAATGAAATAACACCATATTTCTGTACTTTTTATTCTAGGAGCACATGATTCTTTGCAGATTTGCAGATCAGACCGCTGTTCAGCTTCCACCCGAACGCAGACTAATAGGTTTGCATTTCCACAGATCAGCTGTTGTGTAGAATATGCGCACTATATTTTGTGATGGGCTGAGCTTATGATATATGGGAAGCACTGGTACATTTATCAATAGGGAATTAAATTGCTGTTTTCTCATCGCACTTATAGCAGTGAGTGTTTCTATTGCTGCATCTTTTTTCACTGTGGTAGTGAAGCATTTTTCCTGGTTGAAGTTTTTTAAATATGAGCTAGAGTATAATTTGACATTTTATTGATCATTATGTCTCTGCACCAGCTCCTTCCCCCTCCATACCCTGAAAAAGGAGAAGACTTCCTGAAGTTCACTAGAGACCTCTCTAAAGCCAATCTAGCTCCCGTGAAAAGTATTTAGATACTCTGGCAATGGGTGACAGTATGAAACCCCTAGATATATTAAACATGATATAGTAGTTGGTGATAAATCATTTAAAAAATTCGCTGACAAACATCCAGTGCCAGATGCGAACTGTCCAAGAATTGTGCAGAAAGTAGCAAAGATAAGAATATCTTTAGCAGAGATATTGAAAACTTCTTTGAAATCGAAGGACTTAAGTGACAAGAAAGGAAGTTGCTGGAACTCCTGTATGAAGGGAATTATCAAGGAAAGATACAGGAAGGACAGACCTATATACTCAACTTCACTAGTAAGAACAAGCTAGATACATTAGTCAGAGTCAGTTTTTAAAGACTAAATAAGGATAATTAAATCTAGCAGCATTCTGAGAATGAAGCTATTTGGTTAGTGTACTGGCTTCCAACTCCTGGGGAAAAAAACAGTAATATATCTGTGGTAATGTGCAGTTCAGCTTTTAGCTATTTGATGTATTAAATAATAAATTACTGTTTTTCTGTTTTACATTTTTATATTGTCCTGGTATATAATAGCAAAAACTACCTGTAGGTTGGGCATTTCCGTGCAATTAATGACCAGCTGGGCTAATGTCTCTCACTTCCTTCAGCGACTCATTAAGTGCTGGAAAATGCCCTCACCTGTTGGCCGTTATGGCTCAAGTCAGACATATATTAATTAAAAAAGAGGGGCTGATCCAAAGTAAAGGGGAAGGCTATTATTTTTTCAAGGAAAGGCTTTTTACTAGATCCCAGATGCAAACATCCCCAAAATATAGACATTCGCTGGATGATATCTGAACCTAGATCCACATCTTACAGCTCAAGTCCATCTCTAGTTCTTGTGTAGGATAGTGACAAATGACAGATGTTCAAGAGCGGATAAAGAATTAGCTTAGCTGTGGCAGATGGATGTATCATTCCTCTGCAATATTTAATTTTCTAAAGGAAAAGGGAGACTACAAACTAGTTTCAAATAAAAAAAACCAACAACAATTCAAGCCAAGATAGGGCAGACGCTGTTGGGGAGTGAAGGTGGATATTCTTGGCTCAAAAACACTTATGAAATACATCAAAGGCAGTAGGAGCAACTAATCTAAATACATTTTTAAAAGCTGCACTTGTGGTATTCAAGGTATTTCCTATAGTTCAGACTACTAAAGGAAATACTGCAGATTCTGAGATGATTTCCAATTTTACTTAAAAATAGATATGATTGTTTTGCTATTCCACTGTATTTAGACAGAAAAAAATTGCCAGTGTTACAGCTGACAAGTATACTCCACCAAATGAGCAGGGTGTCTCCTCTTTTGCTTGTGAGATAGCCATAGGAGATGGGAAGGAAACTGCCAGTTCAAAAGAGAGGGAAAGGACATCAAATGAGCTTCTGTCAGCCTTTTGATACAAAATGTCAGGTGTTTTTGAATTATTTCAACTTTTTGTATGTTCTCTGTCTCATAGAAATTGTACACTTTTCCTCACAAACTTGTTTCCCCAAGGAGAAAAAAAACCACCTCATTGGTATTTCCATTTTAAAACTAACATTATTTTTCTATTCTATTCAATTAGACATTAGACTATTCTATTCTACTGAAAAATCTTTATGGGGGCGTGGTTGCTGTGGATTAAGTTTTGTTTTCAAATGACTAAACTAAAGGTCAGACCACATTTGTGTTAGATTCATGTTCTTTTGACAGGTCAAGATCAGGTATTGAAAAGCTACATCAAATGCACTTCAGATTTTCTTTTTAAAGAAGAATTTTAAATGATTGAAGGCATGGGAACAATTTTGGAGGGTGTGTGTGTGTGTCTTTTTTTCTATATATGTAGATAGTGAGAAAGTGGCTTATTCTGCCTTTTTTCCAGTCTTTTAAGGTTGAGAAAAAATGATATATTTAGCAATGCTTACTGTGGGTCACACAACTTCTGTAAAATAGTACGGGTTTATTGGCTTGTCATACTGCCCACGTGCCACCAGATAAACACCTCAAACTTAGGCCTTGGCTACACTTACCCGGTAGTTCGGCGGCGAGCGATCGAACTTCTGGGTTTGACTTATCGCGTCTAGTCTGGA